ATTAAATTTGAATTCATCCATGTTATAATGTTATATAATTCTATCAGAGTATGAATCAACTCAAGTTTTTTATATGATTGATTGTTTAAATCCGATATTTTAAATACAATCAAAGATTGTGTTTGAAGAGTAAAAGAAGGAAATAACACATCAGAACTGCAATGGTGAAAGTTAAATGATAGAGTGTCAGGTCAAAAGTCTCTTAAAAAGAACTTATGAAAATAGAAATTTGATTTTAACCTATGACAGTAATTTAAGATTTAGCTGATACCAGTGTTGAGTTTGAATCCCAATTAATTGGGGCTGGTTTGGCCAGGGGGGATGTTTTATGATGTATAATAATATGAGGGTCGATTTGAAATTTGGTGGGTAGATGGTGGAGGGGGGGGGGAAGAAGGGGTTGAAGAATATTTAAACATGCTAATGTCATTCCTGCTTTAGTCAATGGGTAAGAGACTTGCTACTAATTGCCTCATCTTTTGGATTGGCTGTTAAGCTGTTGGGTCGGTTTGCTTAATAAGACATGTGTGCCCAGTAAGAACTTGGTACACTATTAAAAATAATTAAATAATCAGGGGATTGTCTTTCTATGTGTCTGACCAAGGTGGTGCTACAGTACACTGATGTATCTACAATATACCGTACCTTTCATGTCATTCCATTATTGTACGTTTCATGTATTCAGAATTTTCATCTATGGATTATTTATGTTCTGTACAACAAAATAAATTGAAATTTAGTTTGTTTAAGTGTAACTTGATCATAATGTGTATATTTAAGAAGTAATGAAGTGTGGTGGGTGGAAGTACAGAGACAGTTCATAAACCGCTTGGCGCAACTTCAATTGATATATGTCTTCCTTACTACAGTCTTCCATTACAGCAATTTATATCTAAACATACATTTACCCGACTTGCGTCTAGTTAACATGATTTATAGTTTGCTTTGTTTCTGCTGTGTAGTACACTGATAAATCCTAGTGAAGAGAATATCTTAATGGAAATTATAGAAAGTCTAAATTACTTCTTTTAAAAATTATGTTAAATCCATAGTAATAGAATTGTAACTATGGAAATGCTAATCTTGTATTTTGCCTTGTTTTGCAAACCTGTATCTTGTCTAGTTATGATTTCTAATGAACCATTTTTTTTTGGCCTGTTAACTAGTGGAGGTAAAAAAAGAGAAATTTCACCAAAGAACATATTGTTTTATTTTTATTGACTGAAGTGTTCAATGTATATATCACTTAGAAATACTGTATCTAAATATATTTTTACAGGTTAATGCCCAGTCGAAATAAAATCAAAATTACCATATTTAAAGATAAAACAAGATAATCGATATTGGTATCGTATAGGAAGTTCTGCTATCAAAGTTTTAAGCTTTCATAAATATATAAAAGCACTAGAAAGTTTTTGCACTTGAAAAATGAAACAGTAATGTAATACATAGTCTCAGGTTTTTCCTGGAAGTGGTCAGAAGAATTGCTATTGTGGTCAGCATTTGAGTCACCTGTTCGATGAAACCACAGATATTTTTTATTGTTTGTATAATGATCACAGATGCACTTGTTGTAACTGCCATATTGTTTCTAGGCCTTTACAAATTTCCATGAATAATAAGAATTATAATATTAATAGTATCGTCACTCTAAAATAGCGCAAAGAAAAGCCTTAATCTACTTACAACAAAAAATGCTAAATCATTTTTGATTTAAACCAAAGAAAGTTCTGATGCATGTGCCTATTTGTAGTCAGGTTGTGCTAAATGGTAATAATTCAAATGATGATAATAAGATATTATTTATAATATGTATTTATTACATTGCACCCTACAATTCGAGACCACTTTTTTTAAGAATGAAATAACATCATCAATCTTTCAACTCAAAGCTAACCCTCTTATTGGAGACTGAATCCCCAAGACCACCCAAAATTAACAGGTCCTAAAGGTGGTCTTGGACGGTGAACTGTTATTTATATGTATTTTCCTCTTTTTTAAACATGTACTGTATTATCACATCCAATGCCAAGTGCAATTGCCTGTTACTGGTACATTAGATGTGGTACAGGAAGTAGAATTGTTTTAGTTAGAACATCCTGGTTTCTGGAAAAAAGTGAAATTGGAAAGCAAGCTTCTTTCTTTACCACACAAATTTGTGACAAGGTACAGCCCCTATTTTAACCTGTACATCTACGGTACACATTTAAACAATTTGAAATATAAATGGACTATTGTAATGAAATACATTAATTCTTAATACTTCTGTATAAATAGTATAAAGAAAGGAAGATTGTGCCTAAGCTACAGATCAATTTTTTTTTATATACTTGTTTGACATGTACACATAGCAAAGAAAGTGAAATATAAAGACTATTGATGAAGTACATTAAAACGTGATACTTCTGTGTAAATTGTTTTATTTTGGAAACTTGTTTGCCTGCAATACCTTGTATCCAACGGAAACGGCGGAGTACAAAATTCCTGGCTTTTTACATTAGATTACATTGTTTCCAAGTTACTAATCCCCATTCCTTTTATTTACGTATTCAAATTATTATGTGTATACACATAGCAAGGATTAAAGTAGAATAAATTAGCATGTTGTAATAAAATACATTAACTATTGATACTTCTATATAAATTGTTTTCTTTTATTTGAATATTTGTTTTATGTGTATGGCCTACATATCATTTTTGCTTGTAAATTACCACCAGAATAGTTGTGCTACATGTATTTTCTTATTAAGTTTAAAGTTTTCATTTTATACAATTTGTAGAATACTGTAATATTTTATGCTTTTATACTTCTATTAGAATTGTCTTGTCGCCCTCTATAGTCATGTTTGGATTTGATGAATTACAGGAACGTGTTGGGCACTGACAATGACAGTTGACATTTTTGTTTTATTATTTTTATTTTACAATGGTATGCCATCTGACTTGTTATTGCATTTTACATTTTGTGTTGGTAAAAAGAGCTATTTTATGTGTATCTTGAACCAATTTTAAGTTTCAAGTTATCTGTGTTCATTGATAGTAATTATAATAAAGTCTTTCAATAGTTCAACAAAGAGATCTTCTTCCATGTAACGTTTATGTTATAATTGGTTTTTGCAGCTGACATTTTTGTCCAATTCACTTTTTCTTATTATTATAAATATATTCAAAAATAATATCTGTTTGCAGTTGACATATATTTTAATATTTCATTTAAGAAAAGATAGTATGGTAAAGAGAGCTATTTTTGTCCACTTTTGATGTTGCATGTTACTGATTGTTGATAAATATTATAGTGATAATAAAATCTTTCAGTTTCCATAATACCATATCGTTGTACAAGTGACACAAAATATAAATATGTACAGAAAAAAAACTACTATTATGAAGAACTACATAGAGTACAGTACATCTAAGAAAATAACCGTGAAAACCAAATAGAAATATAAATATAAATAAATAAATATAATAAATAAATAATATAATAATAATATAATAATATAATATATATATAATATAATAGAAATAATCTGTACATAAAAATCTTCACAAGTAGTAATATTTTTTTGTATGTTCAGTCAAAGCTTATCTAAATCTGTCCAGATTATAAAATTTTCTTTGATAAAAACTGTTGTATGCCCATATATAGTCATGATGTACCTATATATGATCATGATGTGATGTCATCATAACCGTAATTGGTTGGTTATTTGTCATTCTGTTATTATGGTTGATTGTAAAATAATGTCAATAATTTCATCTGGTTCTGTAAAATATGTACCAAAATGAAGCTAATAATTGATTAAGTTACGTTGATCTAGACAAAATCTTGGATTAACTATTATAAATATATTTTTCTGATTGTATATATTATATATAATTATATAAAAGTGCTAGTGCTGAGTACTCTTTTACATGCTACATTATATCAACAAAGTCCTTGCTTTTTCTTTAAGTTTGATCAATCCTTTTTTATTATATATTTACAGAAATGCCTGTACCAATTGTGGTTGTATGAGGGAAGATCATGATTTAATACACGATAACCTAGTCACAGTATGTGAAAGGTTAGGCTTAGAGCTCAAGGACCACAATGAAACAGAAAGAACTAAAGAGGGTGCTATATCTCTTGGCTATTCATGGACACCAGCCGGTCTTTCAGCTTCTAAGGTTTGTTATTTTTTATGGATTTAACTTTTTATTTCAGATAGCTCTAATAGCAGTGTTGAATGTAAGGGGCCCTCTGTAACATACAAAAACATCCAATGTAAATAACATTGAAAAACATTAAATTATAAATATATTTTGGTCTTCAAATAAATACTAAGCCAAAATATGCTCATACATACAGATTATGGTAAAAAAACAAACTGATAAAATGTTATTTTAATAGAAAAATAATGCTCACAGATTTTCCAATATGATTAAGAATCATTTGAAAGATACATTTTTTGTACAAAAAACATTTTTAAAAGTGAAAGTTTTATTTAAAAAAGCAAACACAAAAGCAGGTGATGCAATGGAGGTCAGGGGTATGAAAACATCCCTCTGCAAGTCGCTTGTGCAAGGCATTTAATTATGTTCATCTCTCTACAGAGAACATATAATTTCCTGGTAGGATCTAATACCAAGTACTAAGTCTACCTGCTTTTTGGGTGTGTACCATAGGTGTTTGCACCAGTGGGGGGGGGGGGGGGATAATAATGTAAAAGCGCATAGAGGCAGTGTATTGCAGTATGCGCTATATAAACATTCCATTTATAATTTTATATTAATTAAAATATTGAACTGTCAAATAATTATGTTTTAATGTGTTTTTGATTTTTTTTTTCTAGTTCGTAGTAAATAACATTATATTTTCTTTTCATTCATGTTTTTAGGTGGAAGAATTTATGAATTCCTTACCTAATCCTATTATACCAAAGTTACATTCAGCCGGAGAGAAATATCGGGATCGTCAACTTATTTTGCAGATACCAAAGCAAGACCTAGCACCCGAATATTGTCGACATTTAAACGATTCTGTTGCCAGAGAGAACTTTTATCAGTTTTTGGATATTAGAGATGAGACGGCATTTGGGTTAGCTAGAGTTGAAGATTACCTAACAGATGATAAGGTTTGTCATAAATAGCTTTTGTTAACTTGCATTTACTACTGTGTCGACACTATAAACTTTCCTTTGACAAATATCTGTGATTTGCCCTTATATGGGAATGATGAAGTGGGTGTGGTCAGGCATCGCTTAAAACTTTTAGGAAGTGGTCCAGTAGCAAAGGCCCCCCCCCCCCTTCCAAAAAAAATAAAAAAATAAAAAAAATATGACAATTTAGGGATTTTAATCAATTTTATAATCTACTAAAGACCATCCATAATTTTCAACATTTTCAAAATAGTACAAAACACACGCTTTGACATGCATTAGTCTTGGATACATGGAAATGTTCAATCACCATCTTTGACTCTCTTCTTAATAGCCCTGTTCCAGGTGTGGTAAGGATGTTGAGGCAGGTGAGATTGGACTGTACGTGGACAGCAAACAGGAGGAAGCCTGTTGGCATCCTGCATGCTTCACGTGTACGACGTGCGAAGAAATCTTAGTGGACCTTGCTCACTTTGTTAAAGATTCTCAGATATACTGTGAACGCCATTATGCAGAGCTTATAATGCCTCGCTGTGCTGGATGTGATGAGGTAAACCTAGTTTTTTTTTTAAAGCTGTTTTCACACAACCCTAATCATATTTTATGTTGTATAATTATTAAGTCATTTATTCTTTATTGTTTTTATATTGTATATACACATTATGTCATTATACACTATCATGATACAGACAAAATCAACAAAACATCTCTGTCTGTCACATTATACTAGGGAATTATAGAGCCATCATTATGATTTCATAATAATAGCCACATCTTGCTGCCTCATGGCATGATATCATATATTGAGGTTGGCTAAAGATTAAATCATTTATCCATTCTTTGTTTTTACATTATAGTAATATAGATATTTTTATGATGTCATGTAATGTAAGATCTAACATTTTAAACTTGTTCTCTTATGATCATTCATGCTACTGAAGAATGTCTCATCAAAAAAAAAATTACATTCAAGTAGTTAAAATTTATCTCATTCCACTAGTGAGTGATTCCTCACTTTCCTGTTGCATCCCCCTCCCATCTGTATAATGTCAGAAGTCCAAATATAACAGACTTCTGGAAGAATATTTACATTTCTTAAAAAATATAAACCCATGATACTGTATAGTCAATTAGACCAACATATGGCATGTAATTGTATGTTCAATGATTTGATAGTAAAGGCCCATAAATAAATGCTAATAAAGTTTAACATAAACAATATATGTAAATATTGGTAGTACCACTGCACTGTAGCTTCTGTGGGTTCTCTTGTGGGGGGCCAGCTAGAAATTTCTAATTTTAAATATGAATTGGACAAAGAAAATTTAATCTTTATTTTTAGTCTTTTAAATATACATTAAAGATGTGCTATTAAAAATTTAAAAATCCCAAAGTAAGGTAAATATATATAATTTTATAACATTGTATTATTCATCAAGACAATAAGAAAACTGAAAAAAATTCATCCTGTAGATGTGTATGATAATACTGATATCAATCTTGTGAAGTCAAGGCTAAAATTCTTCATTTAATTTTTTTTTTTGCATTAATAAGCAATTAGACTAGAAGATATTTTTTGTCCAAGTCTAATTAATGACTGAATGAGATGGTTAGCGATTAAGATATTGAATCAAGGGGATCGAGCCTAATCATTCTGAACTTTAATATAATTTACTGATTCCTTTGGGCAATGTTGCTTTGAGAATTCAAAGATTAAAACATAAAGCCATCATAAAAAAATATCTCCATACATCCATATGAGATATTGTAACTGCTAACCCAGTGCATTATGACAGTAACAATTAATAGTAGCTCCTTATAATGCCCATCCTTGGTATAATCCGACCCTGAACTTCTGATTAATTTTCATGCAAAAGCTTATATAAGGCATAAGCTCTAACCTGGACTCTAGGGGCGTTTGTCTACTGATAAACACAAAATAATCATTTTTTTTAATGAGTGCCAGGCAGCCTGCCTGCTTTGCAACTGTGTTTTTGCTTTCACAAAAATAGCTTTTCATGGTGGAAATTACGTCACCAGTTTGTTTATACAACACGTTTTCTAAACTGTTTAACTGTAGTTATTTTCTCACAAGTCAATACACTTCACATGAATTCTGGTCATGAGGAGGAGATATGGTGTGCGGCGAGAAGGCGAATGCCTTCAGCTGTGCTCATCGGCACAATGAACGAGCGCACAAGGACAACAGTAGGCCCAAAAGAGTGAAGAGGCCTAGGCCCAATATCCCCCCACAAAATAAATACAAAACAAGCAATACTTAGTGATTTATCTTTTACAAATAGTAGTATGCAGGAGCGGATCCGGAGATGTTCAAAACGGGGGTGGGGGGCGAAAGTTGGGCTGATCGAGATAGCAATACCCTAGGGGGTCCGGGGCCAGGCATGGCCCCGTGAAACTTCACATGTTCTAGACGCCCAAAAATAACCTCCAATGAATTTTGGGCGATCAATTTTTTTCTTTTTTGTCTCTTATTCTTTTTTTTTTTATATTTTTGGTGGTTTTTTTTTTACTTTCCAAAAGAGGGGGCGGGGTCAGGCAGCCTGCCCCCCCCCCTCTCTAAATCCGCCCCTGGTATGTATGGTATAAATTTATGCTTATAAAATAACATTCGACTCATTTATAATTTCATTACAATGCAAATTCTCTCTGACAAAGGATAATGATGGTGGTGATGATGATGCCACAGCCCTATATACAACATTCATTTACTGTACAGTACTAATGACTCAATACTTATTTGATGAAAGTTTGAAAATTGATTTTTAATACTGTATACTATCAGCTAAACAGACTGTGTCCTTGTACTTGAGGTCATTGACCTGACTATAAACAAGCACTCGCTTGTCTGACATGCCTAAATACCTAGGTATACCACATCCGGTATTGCTTTATGAATGGAGGTGTATTGTCCCATGGTGAGCAAGATTCCAAACTAATCATTCCCCAGTCTCGTATTACCCAAGTCATCTTAAAAATGATAATCATCATATTTTGACTGACTGTAATTATGATGTGAGGAATCTGGGGTATAATGAATCATAAACTAGACTGACCTGTATTTTAAACCTTTGATCTACTTGGGTACTTATTTTATTGCCTCACTTAATAAATTTATCTTTTAAAGGTATCATGTCTATGGTAAATCAAAAACAAAAACTTAAAAAACATTTAGTTTACTGTGGTAGAGTAGTGGTGTATTACACTAATGACTTACGGTATAGCAAATATTTGTTATTTGGCAGTATCCACTGCAAACAAATTCCGGATTCTGATTGGTTTTATTGTATTTAAGGATTAGATTAGGACAATTACATCCAATCAGAATTGGCAATTTGTCTAAGACCAGTGTAGCAATAGCCACTGCCCTTTTTTCAGGTAGTTTGACACTGCACTAAAGTTATTAACTGAGATGTAGATCACTGATTTACCTATATTTTTTCCACGAATTATCAAGAAAACTCATGTTTGGGACAGTAAAATTAAATATACATGCATACTTTAGATATAATAGAGAGTATCATAAAAATACGCTGCTATGTAATGAGTTCAATTTTGCCTGATTTTTCAATAATGATTTGAGATATACTAATGTGGTTTCCCTCTCTTCTCTAATTCATTTCTTCCTGATGCTGTTTCTATTTATGGTAACAATATCTTATTAAATCTGTAGTTTATCTGAGAATCTGGTTCGGTTTCACTGCCTTAGGCCAACACCAATTAACTCAATCATTATTTTAATACCAACCCAGTTATCTACTGTGAAATTTACTTTGCGAAGAAACCAGGAGTACATGTTACAAGCAACAATTATAATGTTATGCCTACTATGAGGCGAAGTAGGACATGGATCTATTTGGAATATGTATGAAAACAAATATGATGGCACGCAATTAATTTTATTTCTGAATTTTTACTTCAGATTTATTTCATTGATGACGCTTTAACTTTGTGGATTGAGCCAACTACTGTAATCTGAACATATACCCCAGCACTTTACACCTGGCACAGATTTATACTGTACCTAGTGTAACTTTATGTCTGGCATTATGTCATGTCTGAACGTGGCCTAAAATGTTTCAGAGGTGTGGCTACAAACTTATCACGTTCCCAATTGTATGTGCTCTCAATTTATTTCAAAGTTATGGTGCCCTCTCTTGTCTAGTTTATGTTTATTTATACCTAATATGGAATTTGGCAAGTCCATTTTTCTGTTACTAGCCAAAGTGGTCTAAAATATAAATGCATATTTTGATACAATTCATCCATATAGTTCCATAGCTTCTTACCAATTTCAATCATTTACTGAACATGTGTCAATAAAAGAATTGGAAGATATATTAATGTTAGCTTGAGGTTGTAAGTGGTTGCTCCCAATATCAAGTGTCATGTACGGTAAGTGATGAGATCATAGTGGTATACCTTCATTTCCGTTGTATACATTGTCAACCTTAGGCTACCAGGAGGGTATTAACTTCAGTAACTTCAGGACCCTTCACAAGTCATCTCAGGTATGTTGTATCGAAGATTTCAGTTAGGATATGTTTGTTTTTTGTACTTTTATCTTTCCAAATGTAAACCAATTTTATTATTTATTAGCCAACTTAAAGTATGCTTACCATGATGAAAATTTGGAAAATTTTGTTTAAAAAAAAGCAAAACTTAATATCATTCATTTATTTATAGTCTTTTAATGTCTCATTTATGTTAAGTATTATTTTAATTATTATATTAAAACTTTTCAATCCATATAAAAACTATCAATTCTATTTTAAACTTGTCGATGACAGTAATATATTATATTGTTGTAGATATTACTGCCTAAATAGCATATTAAAAGTATGCTTACCATGATGAAAATTTGGAAAATTTTGTAAAAAAAAAAAAGCAAAACTTTTTTATTCATTTATTTATAGTCTTTTAATGTCTCATTTATGTTAAGTATTATTTTAATTATTATATTAAAACTTTTCAGTCAAGTTAAAAACTATCAATTCTATTTTAAACTTGTTGATGACAGTAATATATTATTGTAGATATTACTGCCTAAATAGCATATTTACTAGAAATTGCAAATTGCAAGTGAAGTGCTGCGAAGTACAACTGCATAAAATGTTCTTCGAACAAAATTATTTATGCGAGTCAAGTGAAAATAATGAATAATAAAAATATAACAAATAATATGAGCACGACCCATTGTCTATATATTATTAGAACAGCGTTGGTACAATAATGTTTTGCTGCAGTGACATCTCTCTGCTGGCGATGGCTCGCTGCTGCTGGCGATGACTCGCTGCTGGCGAATCGATCTGCGCATGTGTATAAAATGGTATTTATTTCTGCAAACACTATGCCAGTCTACAACAAGCGTCGCCTAAATGTAATAATTAGCACGTTGAAATAGGCTAGTAAATAAGTTTAACTGGGTTCGTAAATAATATTGTCCTCAAAATGTTGTGGCTGAGACATGAGCATTTAAAACGTAGAAATAGGAAACCTAGAAATATAGTAAAAACGCTGAATAGTACTCCA